TGAAGACCAACATTTCAGTCACTCAGCTGACACCAGGAATCAGACATTCACTTTTATACTAGAGGCTTTTTTTCCCCTGTAAGTTTTATTAAAAGCTTTAGATTTTACTTTTTTCAACTACCCCTCCTTGACAACACTGGGAAACCACCCCATAAATCACTGTCAGTGGAGAGTTTTGTTACTAGAGCACTTGAGCCCCTCCCCTACAAAATGCTGCAGAAAGAGCTGAAGAACCAGGACCCAGATTTTCAGACGTATTTAAGAGGCCAAACTCACTTTGAAATTGAAGAGCCCCTAAATGTCTTTAAAGACTCCAGCCCTAAATCTCTACAAGGATTTCTCACTGTCATTCTCCTACCGCTCTACAACAAGGCTGGGGGAAACCCTCTAAAAAAGCTGTCCCAGTCTCCTGCCATCCAGTGGTGCTGGGAAGCTTAGAGGTGAGCTAAGAAAAGTGCCTGCTTTGGGACTATCCGAAAGTGCCTTGATTCTCCCTCTGGAGTTCCATAATGTGCCAGGGAGATGACAAAGGAGGCCACCAGCTCCCTCCTCTACAAAGCAAATGGGGACCCCCTTCCATACACTCATCTGCTGGTGGCAACCTGAACTGCTCTCAATGTCCAATGTGCCACATATAGCTGGCCATCATGGTTCAAGCCACGTTGCCATGAAAAGTCATTGCTTTCTAATTATTGCATTTTAAGGCAGTGTTTCCAGTTACCAGTTTGCATTTGCAGAAAAAAAATTTAATTTCCTTTTTTTTTCCCCTCTTCTCTCCTTTTTCCTTTTCTATGGGGAGAAAAAGGAAGGGGAATTCTTGTCAACAGAAATTAAAACACAGTAAATGAACAAGTACACCTAGTGAACCCAGCACTGTATTTTTCTTGGTGTGGTCTTTTGTTCATGTTGCAAATTGATTTTGAGATGACACTAACACTGGGTAATCTAACCTGGGCAGTTATGCAGGGCCTGATCCTTAAAAAGCACAAGTGCAGGCACAGTCAGTGGGAACTGAGGGCAATCAATACCTTTGGAGGGTTAATCCTGTGAAATGTGCAATAAGCAGTTCCCACTTCCCCAGACAGATACACAAGCTACAAAACCAGCAGAATAAATTCCTAGTAAGGAGGGAAGAAAAAAAAACCAAACAAAACAAAAACAGAGGGAGCTCCTGCTTTCAGCTACATTCAGTGCAACGTCTTTGAGATGAAGTGATGTACCAGAAAGAGAATCCTGCCAGGGCCATTCCTGTATACAAGAATTTTCAGGTCAGAGCCAACTGAACTGTCACTGCTTTTTACTTAAGATAATTCATCAGGCTTTACTAATTAGGTACTAACAATTCTCTCAGATGGGCTGTGAAACCCAGGGAAGAATACCAGCAGTATGTTTTAAATCAAAGTGTTTACATCAGGAATGATTCATTTTTTCCATGAGGAATGACTTGAGGCAGGCAGTCTTAGCACTGCCATAAATCTGTGTGGGAATTAAAATTGGGGAAGAGAATAACAAAGGGAAGTGGTTATCCCCACCTCCCTTGCCTCAACCCTACCTCTACAGACAGAATCTACATTAACAAGGGGCTCAAACTACCACTGCAATCAGTGTTTGACAAACACAGGGTTTTAAATCCATTTAAGAAACACTATGCTTAAGCTCAGTAACCTTGTGCTCCTCAATAAAGGTGCAACACATGAAAGGAAACTCCAGCATTTTTGTCATCTGCCCTAAAGCTTTTAAAAGGAAAAAAATCAAGTTTTTAAAAAGTTAAAAAAAAACAAAACCCCTACACTTTCTGAGCAGTGTTTAAACAGTGCTTAAGACATCCGTAACAAAGAAACCAAAATTTTCTGGTTTAGGCCTGTATGTTTTCCCTTTTATCTCTTGGAGGATGGAGGGCTGTGAGCTGAGCACAAAGCCACTCTCATTCTCAGTTGCTAAATGGTTGAGGGGCTCTCTGGCAGTGCAGAAGGGCTGCCAGCTCCATAGCATGTTTCATCCCAGCTGTTTGAAAAGCTGGTCCACTTGAAACACAACCATTATCCCCACCCACACTCTGCAGGAGACCAAACTCCCCCTCAATGAGGTATTTATTCCACATATATGGTAACTATTATTTCCAACATTTACAACAGTCATTTTAATTAGGAAAAAAATTATAACAACAAAAAAGCCTGCAACACACATACACAGAAACATGCATATTTACATGTAGAAATGCAAAGCATTCAAGTTGTTTCTAATAACTGCAGCTCCTGGAGGGGACATGCATTCCACACACAATTGACTTAAATGCTCCTTTTCTTTTCTTGCCATAAAAATATACAGATGTCTTCCTTCAAAAAAATTATTTTCCCTTTTCCTGTGTTACAGGAAGCCTGCCCACACTTTTAAATAGAAAGTGGGTATAAATAGAAGCACAAATTAGGCATCTTGAAAAGTCTATATTTTCCAACCACAGGGAAACTAAAGAATTACTGTGAGTGTTTACATACCCAACTATGTTGAATTAAAATAGTATTTTCTATCCATATGCCCAGCAAAACTGCCAAGAAACTAAGGGAGGGAACAACGGCCTTGCTGATTCTTCACCTGTTGCTACAGTGGGACTGGGTATGTTTACATTATTCAGCCTTCTTCATATGGACCACTATAAGTGTCAGCCTGAATACAGTCACCACTTTGATGAAAGCATGTCTTACATATATAAATGCTACAACTACTATGAAAATTTCAGTAAGCCTGTCTGCTTTCCTATAAATCTAACTAGACATTTGTCTCTTTAGTTGTCCTTCTGTATCACATTTATTAAAGGTAAATAAAAGCATGATGGCTCTTTATATGACATTAATAGCTTGAGAGATTTTATAAATCGGTGAGTACAAATGTACAACTCGCTACAGCAGCAGTGAAGCAAGTCTGCCCATCTGACGTTTTCTGACTTAGACTTCAGCTTTAAGATCACACTGCTCATTTGAAATTAACTCATCTCCTGTTTCTCTGCTGTTGTATGCTGGGTAACTTCTGCTGTTCTGTCAACTTCTGACATCAATGTTTTTCTAGTAGCCCACACATCCTAACTAGCTAGCATTATTGGTCACAATACAGACATAGTAGCTTCATCAAATCTTGCAAACTCTTGTCAAAAGGCAAATTCAATAAAACAAAATAAACTAAATGGAAACCACTCAGACTTATTCTGACCAGCCAGCTCTTTTTCTTCAGTCTGAATCTTCAGTAGTATCAATAACTTTGAACTAGATTTAAGGGGTGAGCTGGCAACTGGTCAAAAAGGCAATCGTCACTTCTAAATTCACAGCATAAGGTTTGTTGCTTGCTTGGGGGGTTCTTTTGTCACACATTTTATCTCTCCCTAGCTGTACTGCCTACAAACAGAAGCTATTTTGCTTCCCCAGTAAGATTTTTTTTTTTTTAAGTGAGATTTGGGGGTTACATTAACAAAACAAACCGTAAGCTATAAATGGTGTCTCCAACCTGCACACTAATATTTCCATGTGCTGCTGCTCATGAGCGGTCATTTGCTCTGCACATTCATGCCTCTCCGGCAGACAAGCCTGCTGCTGGTATGCTGCAGCACATCCTCCTCAGCAGAAAGATGAGTAACTCCCACAGAGCATTTGAGTGGGGCTGTGAGAGAGGAGGAGAAAGATGTACAGAAACCAACTGCCTACAGTGGAATAGAGTTCAAAAGCTTAACTGCAAACTTTTCCCCTAAATACTGATCTAAACTATAAAGACAACAAGTGATCATTTTCTCATAATACCTCCATCATTATTAACAATCAGGCTCTTTTTTTTTTTAAAAAAGGAGGTTGGTGAGACTTAAGGTTGTGCAAGACATACTTTGATCTGCACCCTGATGAGTGAACATTCCCCTTTGCTGCTAGCCCAACTAATGAAGGGATAAAATTAGCTTTTATCCCTGGCACTTTCTTTAGCAAAAAAACATGCACTAATCAGCCGTCCTCACTAATCAGTTGTCTGGCTAATGACCTTTTGCCTTAAAACACTAAAATTTCTGAATGATGTAGAAGAAAAAAATCCCAACACAGACTGGCCCCTCTTTGCGGGTCTTAAGCCTATCATCTGGAACTGGAGACTGGAAGGTTAAATGGCAAATCTGTATCCTGACTAGGTGATAAATCTATAATCAAAAGGCACAAGCCTTGACACCTCAAGATGCACTTCATTACTACACAACTAAATGATTTTTTTTCCCCTCTTTCTTTTTCGTAAACTAGAAGCAGATGAAAAAAATTGCCTAAGTCCCTCACATTTTGCCTGTGGAGAAATCCATTCCACATCTGTGTTCAAGTGTCAGTTAATTTCTTACTTTTTTATTAATGCCTGAGCAGGAATTCAGAAGTTGAAACCATTTGCCTTCCCACCCCCCCACCCCCAACTTCAGGGAACTGTAGCTCGGAAAGAAAATTGGAAAACCACTCCATCAGCCCACATAAACACACACATGAATCCCTAAAAAACCCTCCAAAACAAAACAAAAACCCCAGAAACACAGCAATAAGCATTCCATCGACCCCTCCACACCAAATTCTCACTGTACAAGGCAGACCTTCCTCCTCTTAATATCATACTTTAACAGTGTTTTAAAAGAGCAGATTTTAAGGCCTGTTTCATTTTCCTTCTGTGCCTTCTTTAATGAGGCTTTTTTTCTTCATGTATTAAGAAGGTGGAGCAAACGCAACCCTGGATGGCTGAGAAGGATTAGCAACAGATGGGATGTCCTGCGGAAGTTGCTTTGCAGAGGCCTGTGATAGTTTTGATCTGCAATGCAAGTGCCCCCTGGTTTTTAACTTCAGAAAAAAGATTGTATTACCTCAACCCTCCCCCTTCCCCACCCTGACAAAGCAGTTCTCCCTGGGGATGATGCAAGGCAACAAATAAAATCGCATTAGATTTGACAGCCTTGACAGCCTTCCAACTTTGCATCCCAAAACGAACTGGCAGTCGATACTCACGGTAATGAGGGTCCATGTAACCGTTTCGGGGGTCCATGGTAAAAAGCGTCCCACGGTAAGGTACAGAAGGTTCGGGAAGGTGCGATATAGATCCATGGATCTCCTTCTTGATTAATGAGGCCCTTTCCTCGCTCGACGTGGAAGGCTCTTCACTGATCTTGCCGAGGCCTTGCCCACCCTGCGGCTGCATTGTGATCGCGTTCCTTCTCTCTCTGTGATAGGTCTGCCCAGGACTTTCATCCTCTGCAAAAAAACGAGGGAGAAGAAAGAGAGAAGGGAATGAGAAAGAGCACTTTTAGCCCATTTATAGCAAATGCAATAAAGAAAAGTTCTCCCCCCTCCCCGTCCCCGTCCCTCCTCCTCACGGTGTAAGTTTGTGAGAGTAGGTGCACGTGTGGCTATGAGAGATGGTCTGGGGAAGCCCGCCTGTTCAGAGCGGGCAGCTGCTGAGCGGTAGATCATCGTCACCCATGCGCCGATGCTCCTACCGGCAGGGCTATCAATCATGTGGTAACAGACACAGGCTTGCTGTTTTCTTGCCTCTGGGACAAGGAGACTGGGAGTTTGGGCTGCCTGATGGGGAGGCAAAAAACAATTTGTCACAAAGAGGAGAAGATGAACCCTGCCGGCTGGGCCTAAATCAAACTTAGCCACCCACCGCTGCTCTGCAGCCCAGCTCCAGTCCCTGGAGGTTTGCTTGTGCAAGAGGCTGGAGCCTTGCAGGAAGGTCGTTAGCAATCAGAAGCAAGGTGGGCAACAATAAAATGGGTAAAATTGCTCAAGATACAGCAGCAGCATCAGGCAGGCACAAGTGAGGCCACCACTCTAACACTGTCACCACATAGACACATGTGCACGCTCCACTTCCCTCTTCTTCCCATATCCACACAGACAAACCCAAAAACTCTTAATGAACAAGGGGAAAAGAAACAATTAGGAGGGTCAAACCCAAGCCCTAGTCTGGAGTAAGCCTCTAGGGCTGTGGTACCACTTGTGAGGGGAAAAGGGCCTCCTGACCATGGCTCCATCAGCCTCCCTTGCAGGCAGCCCCAGAACCAGATGCTGAACCAGCCCTCTGCTCCCACATGGATTTTAACCCCCAAGGACCATGTGCTTCCTTCAAAAACCAGACCAAATGGTTCTGTTTCTCAAAAGCCAGATTCATGTTCCCAGGTACATTTCACACATGCTGTGTGGCAGAGGGATTTTGTTAGCTACTGTAAATGCCTTCCTTAAGTTGCATTATTGCTTTAAAATACACAGACATTTCTCTAAACAAGCACGATTGAGGGCTGTAATCCTTGGCTGATACCCATGCTCCAGGTACAGCCTTGTTCAACCACGCTACACATGTGGCTGTACACCAATACATCTTGAAGTAAGTGATAAATATGCTTAGCTTCAGAAGTTGCTCAGCAGTTCTAGAAGTACATGAGGAACCTCAGATTATTAAACACCAGGCACAAAAAAAGGTAACTAGAAAGCAAATGAAAACTCCCCTAAGAAATAAAACTAAAGTACAATTACTTTACAACCCACATGGAAGGAAGGATCATTGACAACAGTGCCTACAGATTGCACTACTGTTGTCAAGAGATTTGAGGTCAGGGCTAAATTTTCTCTTGCACCTTGCCCTGGTGTACACATTCACACAGAGAAAGCACCAGCCAGCAATTCACCAAGAGACTACTTTCACCAAGCCTGACACCAGCATAACTCAACCTATTTGCCTTCCTATGAATCAGATTAGAAACAGGCTCCATACGTATAGATACCTGGAGTTGAATTTTGGCCATTATGTGCATAAACTAGCTACACCATTGCTTTGAATGCAGTGCTCACCAGGCTTCTCCCTGCCCCCTCTCGTCCCAAATAGCAACAACAAGAAAACCCAGCAGCATAGCCTATTCAGTGCTTAATTATTTTTCTATCTCTAAGTATTACAGCAACCGGGGTCTGCTGACTTATCAGCATCTTCCAGGGACTGAATTCTTTTTATAGCCAGCAGTAATTCTCCATACAGAGCATTTCCAGGGTTGTGTCTGAGCAGAAAGAGTTAATGGAAATGGACAACAACACTGCAGAGTTTAAACCCTTTGCCCTTTTCTACTTTTTATTAATATGCACAGGCACCGGTCCCTGCTCTGGATTAGCAGGGTTTAAGGTTTCAACTTTTTACACTGAAGCTGGTTTTAGTTAGCGAACTGCAAAAGGGAGTCTAAAACTTTAAAACTTACATGAGGTTTTTAGAAAGCTGCTTGTATAACTAAAAAATAAAAAATTAGTCACCCCAAAGTCATATTTTCCATCACATTTCTCTCTAGCCCAATTCTTTTATGTTAAATTTCAACCTAGAGTGAACTTTCACTGATGAGATGTAAACTCTTGTAAAAATAGGGGATTACACTCCATTTGAAATCCTGACAGACTCTTAAGCAGAGCAAGCTAACCTGTGCTACCACAGTACAGAAAGCAGCAAGCTGGAGTGATTTGTGGGACTGTATAATCAATCTGAGGATCAGATAAGATTTCAGTTCTTTTACACTTCCATATAAAGATAATATTTGTTAAAACCGCCATCCTGGGATACAACAAGAAGCTGACGTCTGTCTGCAGGCTCCACTTTTATTCTTTCCTTCTCAAAACATGCATGTGTCATGAATCAAGGTACTAGTGACTGCTATAGAACAAGCTCATTTTCCAAATTGCTGAATGAAATTCAAAACCTACTTTCAGTAACTTTGAAACTTAAGGAAAAATGTGTTTTGTTTTAATAAGCTTTCCTTTTTTTGGTTCCTTGGGGGAGGGAGAGGGGAGAGAAAAAAAGCAGTATTTTTCCTTCTGCAACCACCATATCTCTCCCCATTATGAAATTACTGCCATGTGCTGTTAGAAGTCAAACATTTCTGTACATTGTCTGCCATGTAAAAATTTCCCCAGAAGTATTTTAAGTAAACAGGATGGCATTTTTGCAATAAGGCATATTCAACAGCCAAACATCTCGCTAAGCATTTACTTCAGACTCCACACCACTGAGCTGCTTTTAATAGGGAGCAGATGAGAAGCTTGACAGCACCCGCGCTCCAGGACACGAATAGGCAAGCGGTTTGCAGGAGCTCCCCGGGCGCTGAGCAGGAAACTCCTCTTGCAGTAATGCTACTGACTCTCACAACGGCAGGCGAGCCACTCCAATACACCAAAAGGCGAAAACTGTCTCATCTTGTTCTGTTTCAGCTGAATCGTTCAATAAAGTTTTAAGAGTAAGTGCAGGCAAGCTGTGCCAGGCCAAATTATTGACAGAAACATACTGTCCACCATGGCAACAAGTGGGACTCTACAGCAAAAATGTAAGCAAACAGCCCACTTCTCCAGCAGCATCTGCCAAAGGGGTTTACAGCCAAATACGTGACAACTGTTACTGCTCTGCTCACATTTTAGAAGCAGCCAGCTTTAGGGTCAAAAGAAACATCCGATTTACTAAAATCTTGCAGAGATGAATACCAAAGTTAAAGGCACTGATACTCCCTCATCTCCACCTGCTTCCCACTGGTGGGACCCCACTGACTCCAGCATAATTCACCCCACCTTTTGCAGGTGTAAGAGAGAGGGGTTAAATAAGAAGAGAAAAAAAGTAATCAGGCCCCAAGAGCAATCTGCATAAGCTTCTCTTTCTTCATGTATACTCAACTCTTAGCAAGCCAGTACCCTGAGACACGTTACAAGTGCCCAGCCTGGAATGATCACATTAATCCAAGATTTTCCCATCCACTGAGAAATACCTGATTTAGTCCTGCTATTCTGATCAGAAGCAGTTTTTACTACAAGTGCTGAGCACCAAGGAGCACCTCACTTAATCAACAAGCTTTTTCAAAAAACTCACACTGGAGAGCATGCCTGAATAAACACACTTTTAATTGCTCAGCTGATTTACCCAGAAAATTAAAAATCAGGACAAACCAAAACATACTGCAAAAACCCATTAAACTTTCTTTCCCTGTTGAACTTTGATTTTTTTTGCTCTTTTTTTTTAATTGTAGACCAAGACAAAGTAGAAGGTTTTTACTTTAAACCTCTTACAGTCAGCAACTAAAAAAAAAGTTGAAATCTATTGATATACCACACGAAAAATTAAGTCTCAACACACTTCAGAGAGACCCCTACTTAAACAAGACAATACATAAACAGATTTAATTGGGCTGGTGTTAAGTTTCATCACCACATTTCTGCATGCAACTTGCAGAGAGCATTACCGTCTCAAGAGCGATCTGCCGACACACTTTGGCTGGGTAAGAGAAGAGACAAGGTACTTACAACTCAGTCCAAGAGACCCTGGCTGACGCTCCCTCCAACCTCTTCTCTTGACCAAAATTCTCTGGCTACCAGGACATGGGCATTCCTCCCTCTCTCTTCCCTCTCTCTCTTCCCCCCCCCATCTCCCTCCCTCCCCTCTCAGAGGCAGTGCTTCTCCCATTAGAGGAATTAAGAGTGGTTGGTGCCATGCTAAATTTAACAAGCTCATTAGTATTCTTCCTGTGTGCTTCCTAGTGAACTCTCCCTATTCAAGCAGCTCTCTCTAGCTGAGGGGTCAGGCGGCTAATCATTAAATCAAACTAATGTCACCCTATCACAATCGGCCTAAGAGAAGGAGGGTTTATTATTTCAGTTTATGCTAAATAAACGGTTTTACAAATGGTCTCCAAGCAAGGTCAACAGCAGCTTCAATTACAAGACAAACTTAACAAGAGTTGCTATAAACCAAGTGCTCCATATTGACCTAAGCACAAGCTCAGCTCCGCATATTGCCACTAGCAGGATTGTACAGGAATGCATATTGTAAAATAAAGGAAAGGGTAATCTTTTCTTTGCCAGAATTTGTGACTGCACAGAGACTGCTCATTCACCTCTCCCCAACCAGCTTGCTGCTCAGCTCAATTCACCCCACACAAAGGCTGAAGACCAGACCTCAATGGACCGAGTGAAACATGTTCAAAACTAGGCTCTCTATTGTGACTGAATTTCTTAACATCTTTTCAAAAAGCGGAGAATGCCTTGAGGCTAAAGGAAGAAACAGGCTAATGGTGAATTGGGAATACTGAGCAAATTTCAGAGCCCTTTCCTCCTAGCTTTTGAGGTTGAAAGCAAGCTCTTTCCTTTCAAGTTTCAAAGTCCTTTTTCCTCCCGCAGTGTCACAGAAGGATTTGAAAAGAAGGTAATTGTGCTCACAGTCCCCCTGATCAGAGCTT